TTCGGCACCGAAGGCTGTTTGAGTCCGCTAAGGATCTCTGGATTGTCATCAAGAGGCTCTCTCCTCTTCTTATCAGAGTACATCTTGCTTAGATGTAGCTCAAGTTCTTTCTGACTGACAACCAGAGTCCCAGACTTCGGTTGCTCGAATAGACCTCGGGCAAACTGATACGGGTCCCTAAAGAATTTCTCTCGCTCCCTTTTGGTTCTCCGTCTGTTGTTACAGAAAAACGCTCGGCGCGACAGAGGGCACTGTGTTTGTTCTTTAAGTGCACCCACACTTCATACAGCCCCTCCCGTTCGCTGCCCGTAGCGGCTTTGAACCGTTTTCTGAGGGCATTCTTGTCTGCCCGACACTTCAGAATGTCCCTCTGCCTTCTGCTAATATTCTGCTTGGCACCCGGGCTGTGCCTTTACTACTGTCCCGAACTCGCGGGAGCAGTGTTCGTATATTACATCACCAAATTTTGTAAGCTTGTCGCCTAGCGGCTTCTTGTTTAGAGTTTGTTTTAAGTACCTCACATAATGTAACCTCCAACTTACACCACACCACCTTCTCGCTCGCAGGTGGAAACCTGATTCTGGAACGCACTTCTTCAGAAATCATCAAAGGTGCTCCTCCGCAGTCGACGTCATGGGCCTCTCCGGGCGAGTGGGGTTCCCCCTGCCCGTCGTTCCCTAACGACTCAAAAACTACCACAGGAGTAGTAGTTTTGCGACGGCGTTTACTGCGTGGAGCACCCTCGCATTTCATTCTTCCGGCATGCGTTCTCAGACCATGCAACCCCGTGAAGCTTTTCCCACATGTACAGAGCCAGCCCGGACGTTGGGCGAGTGTCTCAGTCCGGGGGCTAGCAAGGTCGTCAACGAGGGTATCAATCAGATTGGGCCCTTCATTCTCCCCCCCTTTCGGAGGGCCCTGGGGGCATATTTCATTGTGGTCGTACGAAATCGGAGGTATTATACTGTGTTAGGGGTGATCAACCCGGTCCACAGTCGACATCTGTCTCCAGATGTCAGTTTATCCCCCCGGCGATACCGGGGGGCCAGTCTTTCCAAAGGTGTCAAAAGGTCTTTCCCGATAGTCACCAGTCTTTCCTGGTAGTCTTGTGGGCTAGCCACGTACAATAAGAATAAACTCACAGGGAGCAAGTACAGCGGGGATCTACAGTCATCAGTAGAAATTATCCTCTTTCGACACACGTTTCGGCCCACGATTCCTAAACGTATTCGGAGGTGGGCCCACCTGAGTTCATGAAGCTCAGGGCTGCTTCCCCGCCGCACAGAATTACCGGATGGTGTTATACTTTCGGCCAGAGACAAGACGACTTGGTGGTTTCGAAGGAGGTACTGTGAGATAAGAAGCCGCCACGGCTGCGTAATTAGAATTGCAGCATTGAACCATGTCTCTTTATTTAACCTGTAACCTCCAAGTGTTGGGTGGGAACTTATCATGTAGTTCCAAGTAGGTGGTCAATCTTTGTGCGACAATTTTTTCCAAAAGTTTGCCAACAGTATTCTGCATCGAGATGATTCTGTAGCCGCAGATCTTTGAGTGGTCTTTATTAGGCTTTGGTAGTGGGAACAAATAACTAACTATGGAGCCATTTCTCTTGTATCTGGCCACTCTGAATGCTGATATTGAATTCCTTTGCCACGCTTTTCAAATCAGTGAGTACCAACTTGCTCCAATTAAAAAATAATACAATATTTATACCCACTTTAGGTTACCAATGTCAGACTTGGACATTGACAAATAGAAAACTAACCGCCTGTGAGATTAGATGTTTGAGAATGGCTGTGAATAAAACCAGAAGAGATCGAGTGAAAAAAGACGTGATCAAAAGAACTGTTGGAACAACACTCATCGTCAAATTTATTGGGAAACAAAGAATGATTGGGTTTGGCCACCTAATGAGAACTAAACTAACGATGTCATCTGCAAGAGCGTACAACCTGAAAATCGAAACATCAAGGGGAAGACCAAGAAGAAAATGGATTTATTGAATTATTGACACCTTGAGAATGCATAACACCACGGCGTATCAAGCGACGAAGCGCGCCCTGGCATTCATTCCGATCGTCTGATGAACTGCGAGTAGATACCGACAAAATCAGAAGAAGATGTGGAAACGATCTGACGTGAGCATACGAAACCGAACGCACAGAATAATGGCGTCATTAGTTTAACTGTTCTATAACGGAAAAATGCTCTTGTCTTTTTTTTTTAATGACTGTGACGTCTACGTCACTAATTAATCTTCCGGTTTCCGGTCAAGACTGCATGGAAGACTGCAGGTAATGCAACATCACCCCACAACTTATCCAAACCATCACCCTAAAGCTCGTCTCCTCTGTATCCTCTTACTCGTCCTCCTGTTTGTACTCCACCCCCTTTCCTCCAACTCAACAGGCAGACCGGTGGGCTGGATCTGCACCACTGGGTGGTGAATTGATAGATGATAAGATAGATGTGGTCAACGCCTTTTGGAAACAAGCAACGGAATTAGTAGAGAAACAAGATTATTATGGCCTGGAGAGAATGAGGCACCTGGGTGTAGCCTGAGGGTCTGGCTGGCTCACTACATTCAGAGGAAAGGCAAGACGGAGATATAACCAGATTGTGACCGGTACCATAAGTATTGGAACTCTGCGATGGCTCTGAAGATGAGGACGGAGCACGCATGGAAATGCCCCGAGTGCTGTGATGTCAATTCTTGACTTAACTCAACTCAACTCTTCCAGCTCCTTCTTCCAATCCATCTTGTTGTTCATTCCCTCATCCACCCCATCCCCTCTCTTCCTCCTCTTATCTCTTTTTACTCCCCCATCTCCTTCTCCTATTACTCCCTTCTCCTTGCTCGCTTTCCCCTTAGTCGTGACCGTTGAATTACACACTAGTGGAATAAAACAATAGTGGAATGAAACAATAGTGGAATGAAACAATAGTGGAATGAAGCAATAGTGGAATGAAACAATAGTGGAATGAAACAATTGTGGAATAAAACAATAGTGGAATAAAACAATAGTGGAATGAAACAATAGTGGAATGAAACAATAGTACTATTATTAAGGAAAACTGGTCGAAGAGACGAAACAATAACATATTACACAGACTCACTTAGCTGACTTTCAGAGCATGCTGAGAAAGCTGGAGACAGGTATGCTCCGTGCAGAGTGCCAAGTATCATTTCAAAGGTCCCCTGTTAGTTAGCATCTTTTGGATATTTTCTCCAGGTGATGCCGGTGTGTTGGGAAATGAGCAGGCAGATAGACAGGCTGGTTCTGCACCACTTGGTGGTGAACTGATGTATGACAAGCTGGATGTTGTGAGGGCCTCTTGGGAGCCAGCGAACTGTTCTGAGGCATGGATAGATCATTATCGTCTTAGGATAATGGAACTGCCAGGAGTTACAAGAGGATTTGGTCGAGGTTCGACACTCCTTTGAAAGGCGAGACGGGTATACAGACAGGTACTGGTACGATCGGAATCTTAACTGTTCGCTTGCTGTTGAAGATGGGAACGGAGCGCTTATGGGTGTGTCCTGAGTACTGTGATGTCGACTGTTGATTCAACATTCAGCATTCAACACAGACGTGTTTCTCGCTAGCTCTCCCGCTGGGGCAGTTTCCTACCCAAGATGTCAAATATCATATACTCATCTACTTGCTGGGTGATACCAGCCCCTTTTCCTAGTACCAGGCCTTCTGCTAATTTTTTGTTTCATTCCCTAGTGGTCTCGTTATGGTCAAAACAAGATGAACGAACGAACAGACTTTTTTTTTTCCAAGGGTTACAAATTGGGCAAGCAGGCCCGTCTGACATTCGGCTCTTCTAAGCACTCATCTTTCAGAGTACTAATGCCTGTTATCAATAATGCATTTTATGTTTAAAATAGAAAAATATACATCACATTATTTCAAGATGCTGTTTACTACTCAGTTTTCCTTGATGCTAAATGCTGTGTTTTACTTACAGCCTTTGACTTCAAGATGAGAGGAAGCCAGCGTGTCCAATAGTAGCGTTTTTGTTTACACTATACATGGCTTATACTCTTGCGCAAGCAATGATACTTCTGACTGTCTCCGAGAGCTGTTTGGCCACAGGTATAACCGAATGATTCTGTGTGATTATTGTGTCATACGAGATGTATCATACTGGAAATTACGTCACGATGACGGGCGGAGTGGATAGGCACTCGCTTGCAGCTTGATAGACTACGTTTCAAATATTCGCAATCAGTGAGCATTTTTTTAAAAATGAGATGCTTCCCATGTCGACTCAGCCGGACATATTTACCAGGTAATTTCATATGATAAAAAAGAAGGGGCGACGTGGTCTCGAGGCATGGTGTCCTCCTTAAGTGGTTGATGTTCCGGGATCCATCCCTGGTAAACGCTGGAATGTTTTTCACGTGGACTTGGACTTCTAGTAATTTGCCCTGGTCTCTGGGTAGTGAGATCGCACACCCGTGTGCATTGTTGCGCACGTAAAAAAATCCAGTGGCAGTCGGAAATCGAAAAGAGTATCCTAACGGTGTTGCCCGGGCAAAATTTTGAGTTAAAAATCTACCGAAGTTTTTCAGGATCCTCGCCGGTGCTACAGAGCCTGTGCACTGTACTGAGATTTTCGTACTCAGACTTGAGATAGAAGTAGAACGGCGCACTTATGGGTAACTCCCAGTATGCCATGATGTTGATCCGTGGTTCAAGACCTGAAACTTCATGAGATAAAAAGTGACCAAAGTTTTTGGATCACATCAAGCATCTCGTGGAGATATGGTCTGTACAGATACGAGTCCTTCAGCAAATATCCCATTCGCCACAGTAAATCTCCCTTAAACGTAAAAAGTAATGTGCCCTTTGTCACCCCTTCTGGCGTAATGGGCGTATATTTTATAGGCCAATCGGCACTAGATGGATGATTTCGTCAACATCACACCGGCTGCCTTTACTTCCACTTCCTAATACCCATTCAAGGCTGGGTCCATCTGGGAGCCAAGATCATTTTTGAAAAATAAGTCAGGCTTCATCAGGACTCGAACCCACGACCTTCCGATCCGCAGGCGGGCGTCTAGAATCTACACTACGGTAAACGTAATTTACATACTATCTATTTACTGGTGACACGTCTTGCTCTCAGAAATATAATCAGTTAGTGAGTGAATTGGTTAGTCAGTTAGTTATTTAGCTCTCTTTTTAGTTAGCCAGCCAGTCTGTCAGTCAGTCAGTTAGGAGTTAGTTGTTAGTTTGTTCCTTAGTCAGTCAGTTACTTAGTTAATTTGTTAGTGAGTTTTTTTTAGTTTGGTTAATTTAGTTTAGTTTAGTTAGTTGCTCGGTTAGTTTAGTTAGCCAGCCAGTCTGTCAGTCACTCAGGAGTTAGTTGTTAGTTGGTTCGTTAGTCAGTCAGTTACATAGTTAATTAGTTGGTGAGTTTTTTTAGTTTGGTTAATTTAGTTTAGTTTAGTTAGTTGCTCGGTTAGTTTAACTAGTCAGTTAGCTAGTTTGGTTAGTTTAGTTAGTTAGTTTAGTTAGTTAGTTAGTTTAATTAGTTAGTTTAGTTAGTTAGTTTAGTTAGTTAGGTTAGTTAGTTAGTTAGTTAGTTAGTTAGTTAGTTAGTTAGTTAGTTAGTTAGTTAGTTAGTTAGTTAGTTAGTTAGTTAGTTAGTTAGTTAGTTAGTTAGTTAGTTAGTTAGTTAGTTTAGTTAGTTAGTTAGTTAGTTAGTTGCATAGTTATGTAGTCAGTTTGATTATTAACAGGTAATTAGTTAGTTTAGTTAGTAAGTTTATTAGTTAGTGATTTAGTTAGTTATTTAGCTAGTTAGTTGCTTAGTTGGTGGCTTAGTTAGTTACTTCAGTTAGTTTAGTTAGTTAAGCTATTTTGTTTAATCAGTCGGTGTAGTTAGTTGAGGTTCCAAAATTTCAAGCTAGCATCTAATGTTTGTGCAATTACAAGACCATTGTCGTTCAGCAACAAGGCCGAAATGCTTGTGAATCGGCCAGTGTTCTGTACCCACAGCTGACCGTGACTGTAGCAAGGCGTCGTCGGCTTGTCCGGCCTGAATTATATGGCTGTGTCTTAGCTCTTGGGTCATTTGATAGTAGCTCTGCCTTTTCTGCTTCCCACAGAGGTCTGATAATAATGACACGGGTGTGGCTCTGAACTGCCATTGTGTTACGACAGTGATCTCCATCGTTTTTCAGGTCCCTCATCCCCTTTTGAGTATTTGGCTAGACCCCCACGGCACCCCCTCCCCCTTTTTCCCTAACCAGAACTAAATGTAATTAAAAATGAGGACAAACAAAAAACTGCAAATGAAAAAAAAAATGCCTTGTCCTTTTGTAAGTATAACGGACTATTACACGTACAAATGCAGTTCCCTTTCAAAATTACTCGACGACCCCCCCCCCCCCCCCCCCGCCCCTTTTTTCCTCCCTTGAAACCTCATTGCGGTCCCCTAGAGGCCTACTGCCCTCGCCCCTCCTTTTTTCTAAGTTGCAGACCACTGTGTTTAACTGATGGCAACTACACCGGCCATGCACTTGGAATGGATTATACCAGATTCCCCCATATATCTCTCATATGGACACCAGAAGGGAACATTAAACGGGAAAGAAAAAAAGAGACCCTACGTAGAAGCATCATCAGTGATGGCTCAGTCATGGGCTTTATGAACATCCAACACTTCAAACAAGTGGCAACGAATCGCTAGACATGGAAAGTCTTGACCTCTGCCCAAAATACAGCCTTATGCTCAAGAGGAAAGACTAAATAAGACAGGACTAATAAATAGAGTTTCCTTCAAAGTCAAATAGAGTCGCCCGTGTGTCACCGGGACCCTCACGGGAAGCAAAGAATAGTGACACTGCACCCTACCAGGCATGTCGTAGGAGGCGACTAAGGGTAGGGTTGGGCCTGAGGTTGGCTACCTCATCCTGTAAAAACCATAGCCACAAAAACCAACCAACCATGGATAAGTAAAAAAAAAGAAGCAAATAAAATCCAGCCAACCAAGATGAGGAAAGGCTCTTCAAATAGAAGAAGTATGACACGGTGTGGAGAAAGCCGTAAGGAGTCCGGATCGTTGACGTACCTCGTCTCAGCTAGGAAAACCTCCAGAATTGGCACCTGGATTGTTAGAACTCTTTATGATATAGGAAGAACAATGGAAGTAGCAAAGGAAATGAAACATTATAGAATTAGTATTTTAGGGTTATGTGAAACTAGATGGACTGGGGCAGGGAAAAGTATTCTAAATTCAGGAGAAACTATTTTGTTCTCAGGACACACAGAGGAAAATTCGCCGCACAGTGAGGGAGTGGCCCTGATGCTATCAAAAGAAGCAGACAGGGCACTAATAGAATGGGAAGCTGTGAGTCCCAGAATAATAAGAGCATCTTTTAGAACAGTTAAACAGAAGGTGAACATCTCTTTAATACAGTGTTATGCACCAACAAATGATAAAGATGCATCTGTTAAGGAAGAATTTTACATGCAGCTTCAAAATATTATAAATAATGAAAGAAATGGCAACTTAAACATTTTGATGGGTGACTTGAATGCTAAGATAGGATCAGACAACACAGGTTATGAAGAAATTATGGGGAGACATGGTCTAGGAGTAATGAATGAAAATGGAGAATTGTTCACAAATTTTTGTGCAGGTAACCAGTATGTTATTGGTGGAAGTATTTTTTCCCATAAAAGAATACACAAGGCAACATGGGAATCACCAGAACATAAGACAACTAATCAAATTGACCACATATGTATTAACAAAATGTTTAGATCATCCCTTTACGATGTTAGGGCTTTCAGAGGTGCCGATGTATTTACTGACCATTTCCTAGTGGTAAATAAAATCAAGTTGAAACTAAAAAGATATATAACATCTTATAATCATAGAAACCAATATAATGTAGGCTTTCTCAGAGATAAAGAAATTAAGGAACAGTTCTCAGTTACGGTCTCTAATAAGTACCAGGTGTTGCAGCAGTTAGCTGAAGATGTCAACACAGAAGTCTGCTGGGATCAGATCAAAGGAATCTGGAATGAATCTTGCGTAGAAGTTCTTGGCAAGAAAGAAAGGAAACATAAAGCATGGATAACACCAGAAACCATTAAACTGATTGAAGATAGGAAAAGTAAAAAGGCAGAATTAAACAATAGCAAAACTAGAGCTGCTAAAGCTAGAGCTCAGGAGAAATACACAGAAGCCACCAAGGAAGTTAGGAGGCATATAAGGGCAGATAAAGTGAAATATCTAAATGATCTAGCACAAGAAGCAGAGACAGCAGCAGCAAAAGGAAACCTCAGAGAACTTTACAGTAACACAAGAAAATTAGTAGGTAAATATAGTCAGCCAACTGGATCAATCAAAAATAGTCAAGGAAAGGTACTTACTAACTATAAAGATCAAATGGACACATAAGTTGAATATTTTGAAATGCTTCTAAATAGACCAGGCCCAGAGGTTCCCCCAGATATCCAGCCTTTAGAAATGGAACTGGATATCAACTGTGAGATACCATCCAAAGATGAAATTAGGAAAGCTATAAATCTTCTCAAGGAAGGAAAGGCGACAGGCCCAGACGGTATCCTAGCTGAAGCCATCAGGGCCAACATAAACACATCAACAGAATTGCTACATAGATTATTCAGTAAAGTCTGGGAGACCGAAGAAATACCAGCAGACTGGAGAGAAGGATATCTTGTGAAACTGCCCAAAAAAGGTGATCTACAGGAGTGTGAAAACTATAGAGGAATTATGTTGCTGTCAGTTCCTGGAAAAATATTAAGTAGAATTATTTTGGAAAGATTAAAAGATTCTACTGATAAAATGCTAAGAGATGAGCAGGCAGGTTTTCGGTCAAACAGATCCTGTACTGATCATATAGCCACATTACGTATTATAATAGAGCAAAGCATTGAACTGAACTCACCACTTTACATTGGATTTATATACTATGAAAAAGCATTTGACAGCATAGATAGGGAATCTCTCTGGAAATTGATGGGGCACTATGGAATCCCACAGAAAATTATCAACTTAGTAAAGGCAACATATAAAGAAATGAAATGTCGAGTTCTTCACGAGGGAAAGCTAACAGATGCATTTGAAATAAAAACAGGTGTGCGACAGGGATGTCTTTTGTCGCCTCTCTTATTTTTACTGGCTATAGACTGGACTATGAAAACAGTAACTGCTAACACCAAGAATGGAATTCAGTGGACCCCTACAAAACAGCTTGACGATCTGGACTTCGCTGATGATATTGCTCTTCTGTCCCATTCACGGAATCAGATGCAAGATAAATTAAATATACTTAATGCGAGATCAAAGCAGCTTGGTCTGAAAATCCATAAAGGAAAGACAAAGATAATGAGAATAAATCAGGCAAATAGTAGTGTGGTTTCTCTTAATGGCACCCCACTCCAAGACGTGGAGTCGTACACCTATTTAGGCATTAATGTAGATAAAGATGGAGGAACTGATAGAGATATTAAAATAAGAATACAAAAGGCAAGAGGGGCTTTTATAGCACTAGGGAATTTGTGGAGGTCAAAAGAAATTTAAAGAAATACTAAACTAAAAATTTTTAATTCTAATGTCAAATCGGTACTATTGTATGGGGCGGAAACATGGAGAACAACCAAGGCAATTACTAATAAATTACAGACATACATTAACTGGTGCCTGCGCAGAATAGAGGGAATAAAATGGTATGATAGAATAACTAATGTAGAACTTTGGGAGAGAACTAAACAGGCTCCAGTGGATCAGGAAGTGAGGAAAAGACGCTGGCGTTGGATAGGGCACACACTGAGAAAACAGGAGAACAGCATAACTAGAATGTCTTTGCATTGGAACCCACAGGGGCATAGGAATAAAGGAAGGCCAAAAAACACATGGAGAAGAGAGCTGGAGAACGAGGTTAGAAAGATTGGGAGGACATGGGGAGAGCTCCATGCAATGGCTAAGGATAGAACGACTTGGCGTGAGTTGGTTGAGGGCCTATGCTCCATTGGGGGATAGAAAGGCAGAAGAAGAAGAATAAATAGAGTGATATTCTTTGAGTCTCATGTGTCTGCAAGCAAATAACTTGATCCAATGAGTTGAAGTAATAATTGCAATAGAGTGAATTACCACGAACAGCTGGGGAAGAAGACTGAGAAATGTAATGTATACCCCGTGTTGATGAAATCAGTTACAATAGGGTGAGTTGTGTGGCATTGAAAGAGTCAATATTTATGAAAAGACGGGCGCTCTAATCAACTGAGACGTATTTTCCTTCATAACAGATATACTTAGCTGCGCTGTGATCACACAGCAGACAAGAGAGGACTGCCATTAACGATGCCTTTGTTTATTGTCTTTCTTTACAGATTACATCCCGCCCAAAATTACCTTTCCTAACAGTAGTTTTTCTGACTTTTACTTCCAAAACGGCGCTCCTGCTCGTGTAACCTGCATGGGTGACGGCAGACCTCTCCCGACGTACGTTCTTTGTTTGTTTAAAGGTGTTTGCACGATGTGTTGTATAGAGACTTATGGGGAGTAGCTAAAGTGACTGCCTCATAACCGCGCGGTTTGAAAGCTTCACTGAGTGGGTTCTAGAGTCCCATTATTAGGAAAACAAGAATAAACTCACGGCCTACCCAACAACCATGTCGTAAGAGTCGATTGACATGAAGGGGGGTGGGGGGGGGGAGGGTTTCTTTTGATGTCAGAGTACATCTGCCTGAGCGGCATTCTGCACACAAATGAACCAGATCTGTAAAACAAGCAACGCCCAGGATCTGGTAGACTAAATTGCAGAGGTAGACGAAAGAACATGCAGAATTTTCCGCTGGAGTTTATAACCAGTAAACGCCCAGAAGAAGAAAAAGAAGAAGAAGATGATGATGATGATGATGATGATGATGATAAAGGTGTAAATAGCATTCGGCAATAGTGGGAAATCTCCGCTAACACATGTGCTTTACTGGTTGAAATGTATGCCCATAAAAGTAGTGGTGCAGATGTCTTGAGAGACACTAATTGCCGACATCAGAAGAAGGCAAGCTACATTCTCTGACCATGTCATCAGAAAAAGAAAAAAAAAATTAGTACATCGTAACTATGGGAAAGATGGAGGGAAATGAAACAGAGGAAGACCAACAGAAAAGAGGCTGAGGTGCTTTCTTAATATCCTAACACAAACAGGGGAAATCCACAGGTCAAGGGACAGTCTAATATTTCAGGGGTGGGACCTAGGCTGCATGCAGTTGTGGGAACTAGGCTGCATAAAGTCGTGGCACCTAGGCTGCATGCAGTCGTAGGACCTAGGCTGCACTCTCTCGTGGGACGTAGGTTGGTTGGGGTTAGGGCCAGTTCTAGATGTTTTTGGGCATTAGAAAGATGGGAAACCCAGTCTTACCACTCTCTAAAATGTTGGACTGTCCTGTGACGTCATATGTGGGTAGGATAAAAAACCGAGGCTGGACAGTTTACATCATTGCATGAAGAGCATCTGGGTCAGAACTGATGGAAAGTACACGAGACAGAAGGCTGTGGACAGACATGACAATCAATGCCACACGACTTGGTCTATAGGATGAAGCGAAGGTAGTGTACACATTATAGTGAAGTAAGTGATCCTTCTCCACGCCTTCAGGCGTATAGGGCATATAGGGCTAGACCTATATATTTTATAGACCGAACGGCACGAGATGGGTGATGTTGTCAGCATCATGCCGGATGCCTTTAATTCCCTGGACTGCGCCCCGTGCCCACTCAAGGATATGTCGACCTGGGAGCGGAGGTCATTTAAAAAAAAAAAAAGTCTGGGTCGGCCAGGAAATGAACCAGTGGGCCTTCCGATCCGCAGGCCAACGTCTAGCTTCTCCACCACGGCGACTCCTAGTGTACACATTATGGCTTATTAAATGTGTGTATATCTTCTTCTTCTTCTCATTGACTATTGTTCGTCCACATCCAGATTTTTGTAAGAACTTTTGTTGTTGTTGTTGTTGTTGCCCACATCCGTTTAACAAATCTGTTGCATTTCTATACTGACTGTTCGTTTCTCGCCTCACTGGCAGATATATTCCGACTTCGACGGGAAGGTAGTCAGATCTTCTGGCGTCTTGAGGCGTGATTAATAAGCCGGAATAACACTTAGAAACCACTGTTCTATGATGTTAAACTGTTTCCAGCGTATGTCCTCTGCGTGTCGCAATAGATGTATGCGATGTTTTCTTGCAACAAAGTATCCACACACACTTTTGGTGGCTAAGTTCCTGGGGTCCTGCCGGGCTGCTTAAAAGCTGGGCTTACACTCGGAAGACTCGGGTTCGAACAATTTTGAGGTCGTGGAATTATAGTGTGTAAAACCGAAAAGTATCATGAAATGATGCCAAACCAAACGAAAAGTGGAACAAGTCAGCTCCACATTATTATACACACCAACGACAAGTGAACGTTGTGGCAAAAGAGCCTTACTCAGCACAATACGTGAATATACAATACTAGAAACAGGAATAGGAGTACACAAAATTACCTAACTGAGGTATTCCCAAGAAGAATCTCAAATCTGCTTATCCATTTTTATCTGGGACTTATGTGTGACCGCCAGACATAAATACTAATCATACAAAAGCTGCGAATAGGAAGGGTCATAACTCAGAAATAAAGCTAAAACTTTGTTGGATGTTAAGTACCTTATACGAATTTTGAATGAATGAATTCGCTGAGATTAAAAATTATAACTAGGTGACTCAAAGAGGACCTATTATTATTTTCGTTTCTCTGTTTTCATTTCGTTTTCCCACGATCTCTTCCCATTCCTTTGTTTTTGTGTGTATGGGGAGGTGGGTGGGGGGAGGGGAAGGGGGGGGGGTGGTCGTTTACAGTAATTCTCGTGTATAGAATTTCTCTGCTTCTACTAAATTATGTCACTTTGAAGCCTCACCCTGGCAGTCGTTTGGGGCCCTAATACGGTTAAACAGGGTTTTTGGGACTTGCTCCCAGGAGGTTCTCAACTGAATGGTAGCACTTTGTGTCATCGCGTGTTGGTCGCTCGTCGTGTGGTCCTGGTGAGGTTGAACGTCACTCACTCTTCTTCTTGATAAGGCTCAGATGAGAAGCTTGTCATGAATTTTTTGTCCAAGAGATTCGGGTGTCCGTTGGTAACGAACAGTCTGATAGATTAGCTGGTGCCGCTCCTCTGGGCGGTGAGCTACTTTATGATAAAGCGAATGTGGTAAGTCTGCCTGGCAGTGGTTCTCAGCCTTCATAATGCCGCGACCCTTTAAAACAGTTTATCGTGTTGGGTTGACCCACAAACCATAGATATTGTTTTGTTGCTTTCGATAAATTCAGTGAATATGTCTTTTCCGATGGTCTTAGACTACCCCAGTGAAAGGGTCGTTCGACCCCCCAATGGGGTCGCAACCTACAGGTTAAGAACCGTGGCTGTATGGGATCAATGGACAGTGCAAAAGAACAGATTAGGGAAACTATACACTGAAAGTACTAATTCAGCTGGTACTATTAGCATGACAATTCTTAATTGGTTACTAAAGAAGGAGACTGATCACGTGTGGGAATGTCCTTAGTGCAGTGTTGTCAATTCATTCCTTCATTTATTCACTCCTCTTCTACTTGTGCTACTCGATGGTAAAGACTAATGCCGAAACGCCCCATTGTTTATGTGCGGGCTTTTCTCCTCCCCACTCTCGAACCAACAGTCTGCATACAAATAGTTAGATCTATCAAACGCATGCAGACGCAAAACTCAGGTTCCAAGTCCAGAATTAGACGAACAACCAGAACTTTCTGCCGGAGTTTACAACCGGTGAACGTGAAGAAGAAGACGATTCTGCGTTGAACTTTCTAGTCACAATCTAGTCTAAATGAATTCTTTTAGCTTTTATGACAGTTGTAGAGTAAATTCTTTCTTATGATTGCCCAACTTTCAGTTTTCAGTGGCTTGAAAATGACTTAGAAATGCAGCCATCTTTGAACATCAATTATAACCCAATCACGGGAGATTTAAACATTGTCAGATTCTCGATTAGGTATCAGACCTCATACAGATGTGTTGCCTCCAATCAGTACCAGCAGGTCAATGTTTCCACTATGTCTATAAAGATTCATCTGTGGCAGCTGCGTAAGTTTTTGTTCGTTCGCATCGTTATCACTATCGTCGATATAATCGTATCATCATCATCATCATCATTATAATCATGGTGCACAGCAGCAGCATTATCATCGCCATAATTGTGCCATAATTGTCCTCATCGTTATCATCATCATCCTTACCATCGCCACCATCATCCTCATCATCGTCATTACCATCACCATCGTCATCATCATTATCATCACCAGAATCACCATCATCATCGTTGTCATCATCATCATTATTGTCCTCACCATTATCATCGTCATCTTCCGTCCTCATAATCATCACCACAAGCATCATCATCATCATCATCATCATCATCATCATCATCATCATCATCATCATCATCATCATCATCATCATCATCATCATCTTATTGTAGTTAAAAGAGCAGATTGATCACTATTAAATTTCACAGCCTTCTGTCTCTGAACCTGCTAACGATCTCAGATATTGCGGATATTCCATTTCGACATGTTCAACATCTCTTTCTCTTTCTTTCTGTCTGTCTATCTAATCTATCTATCTATCTATCTATCTATCTATCTATCTATCTATCTATCTATCTATCTATCTATCTATCTATCTATCTATCTATCTATCTATCTATCTATCTATCTATCTAATCTATCTATCTATCTATCTATCTAATCATCTATCTATCTATCTATCTATCTATCTATCTATCTATCTATCTATCTATCTATCTATCTCTATCTATCTATCTATTCTATCTATCTATCTATATCTATCTATCTATCTATCTATCTATCTATCTATCTATCTAATCTAATGTCTAATCTGGGGTCTATCTATCTAATCTAATCTAATCTAATCTAATCTAATCTAATCTATCTATCTAATCTAATCTATCTAATCTAATCTATCTATCTATCTATCTATCTATTCTATCTATCTATCTATCTATCTATCTAATATCTATCTATCTATATATCTATCTATCTAATCTAATCTAATCTATCTATCTAATCTAATCTATCTATCTAATCTATCTATCTATCTATCTATCTACTATCTATCTATCTATCTATCTAATCTAACTATCTATCTATCTAAATCTAAATCTAAATCTAATCTATCTACCTATATCTATTCTATCTATCTATCTAATCTATCTATCTATCTATCCTATCTTCTATCTAATCTATCTATCTAATCTAATCTATCTAATCTAATCTAATCTAATCTATCTATCTATCTATCTATCTATCTATTATCTATATCTCTATCTAATCTATCTACCCATCTATCTATCTCAATCTATCTAATCTACTTCCTACCTATCTGTCCATCGGTCTATCTAGCTATCTATCTGATCTATCTATCTATCTATCTATATATCTATCTATCTATCTATCTATCTATCTATCTATCTATCTATCTATCTATCTCTATCTATCTATCTATTATCTATCTATCTATCTATCTATCTATCTATCTATCTATCTATCTATCTATCTATCCTATCTATCGATCTATCTATCTATCTATCTATCTATCTATCTATCTATCTATCTATCTATCTATCTATCTATCTATTCTATCTATCTATCTATCTATCTATCTATCTACTATCTATCTATCTATCTATCTATCTATCTATCTATCTATCTATCTATCTATCTATCTATCTATCTATCTATCCTATCTATCTATCTATCTATCTATCTATCTATCTATCTATCTATCATCTATCTATCTATCTATCTATCTATCTATCATCTATCTATCTATCTATGGCTATCTATCTAAGATCTATCTATCTCTTCACAGGATCTATCTATCTATCTATCTATCGGATCTATCTATATTATTCGATCTATCATATCTATCGATCTATCTATCTATCTATTATCTATCTTTAAATCTCTATCTATCTATACCGAAATCTAGCATACTTTTCTATTAGGTTAGAACGCGGTGGAAAAATTGTAATCGAAAAACAAAACAAAAAACAAATGGGCTGCGACTAAGAAAAGTTTAAGAAACACTGTCCTAAGGAGATGTTATGTCGGTTCCTTGCGATTTTTAGCTACAGCGTGCATAATGGCTGTATGATATAACCAGTCCCAATATGGGTCGCACTTTTTCGTTTTTTAAGACCACCACCCCAGGCTCTAGTCTGGGCCATAATTAAACCTAAAGGTTGAACGGGATTCTGGAATTCGTGCCCGGGTGAATGGAGGCGCTGTGTGTCACCAGGTGCTGGTCGCTGGTTGTACTATCGTGGTGTGGCTAAATTAAATACATTATGTGTATGGGTGATTGCATATGTGTGTATATGTATGTAATGTGTGTGGGCATGTATGTGGGTGTATGTATGCATGCATGTGTGTATGTATGCATGTTGTGGATACATATATGCAATTGTAGCAGTGTAAGTATGTGGGTGTATGTATGTGTATTTAGGTATGTATGCAAGTATGTATGTATGTATGTATCTATCTATGTGTGTGTGTAAAGATGTAGGTGTATGTAAAGATGTGTGTATGTATGTATGTATGTATGTATGCATGTGAGTGTATGTGGTTGTATTTGTGTGTATTTAGGTATGTATGCAAGTATGTATGTATGTATGTATGTATAGATGTAGGTGTATGTATGGATGTGTGTATGTATGCATGTGTGTATGTATATATGTATGCATGTGAGTGTAAATGTGTGGCTGTGGGTGTATGTGGGTGTCTGTACATGTGATTGTATGTGTGTGTATGCATGCATGCATGTGTAGGTGTGTATGTATGGAATGAATGTGTTTGTGTGCATGTATGTGTGTGTGTTTTCTGTTTGTGCATTTATGTCTATGTATGGGTGTGTGTTTTCTGTTTGTGTATGTATGTAGATGCGTGCATGTATGTATTAGTTATTTCTGTCTATGAATGTGCATGTATGAGAATGTAAGAGTATATATACGTTTGTGTGAGTGTGTAAGATTGTGTACACACTATTATATAATGCATATTTCTTTATTATATCCATAACATGCATTATTCATAACAGGCATTGATACTCTGAAAAATGAGTGCTTAGAAGGGCCGAATGTCAGACGGTCTTTGGTGCCCAATTTTTAACCCTTCGAAAATAAAGTTTGTTAGTTCGTTCGATCGTTCGTTCTATTATAAATGTGCGCATTATGGATGTATTTAAACTTTGCTCACTACAGCCCAGAATACACGTGTGTGTGTGTGTGTTGTGTGTGTGTGTGTGTGTGTGTGTGTGTGTGTGTGTGTTTTCCAAACTACCCAGAATAAAAATTTTTGCTTCTTAAAAAAAAAACTGTTCGGTACTGTACTCTGCAACACTGCATTGTCAGCCAGCTCATTGTGACTATTCATTATAGGACTTGAGAACTTCGCTTCCACTACTGACGAAATCAAGCATGTGATGGAGTATCGGTATCTGCAGCTGATGTGTAGAGATAAGAAATCTTCGATAGCGCCCAAACTAACTTACAACTGGTACAATACTGACACAATCGGCACACTGAATCTAGGTGCAGGTCGACTCTACATAGACCAGGATGGTGAGTGTTTGTGAGAGTGAATCTTGGTGCAAGTCGAATCTACTTAGACCAGAATGGTGAGTGTTTGTTAGAGTGAATCTTGGTGCAAGTCGACTCTACATAGACCAGGATGGTGAGTGTTTGTGAGAGTGAATCTTGGTGCAAGTCGACTCTACATAGACCAAGATTGTGAGTGTTTGTGAGAGTGAATCTTGGTGCAAGTCGACTCTACAAAGACCAAGATGGTGAGTGTTTGTGAGGATGAATCTTGGTGCAAGTCGACTCTACATAGACCAGGATGGTGAGTGTTTGTGAGAGTGAATCTTGGTGCAAGTCGACTCTACATAGACCAAGATGGTGAGTGTTTGTGAGAGTGAATCTTGGTGCAAGTCGACTCTACATAGACCAAGATGGTGAGTGTTTGTGAGAGTGAATCTTGGTGCAAGTCGACTCTACATAGACCAAGATGGTGAGTGTTTGTGAGAGTGAATCTTGGTGCATGTCGACTCTACATAGACCAAGATGGTGAGTGTTTGTGAGAGTGTGGTGCACGTCGACTCTACATAGACCAGGATCGTGTGTGTTTGTGAGAGTGAATCTTGGTGCAAGTCGACTCTACATAGACCAAGATGGTGAGTGTTTGTGAGAGTGAATCTTGGTGCAAGTCGACTCTACATAGACCAAGATGGTGAGTGTTTGTGAGAGTGAATCTTGGTGCAAGTCGACTCTACATAGACCAAGATGGTGAGTGTTTGTGAGAATGAATCTTGGTGCAAGTCGACTCTACATAGACCAAGATGGTGAGTGTTTTTGAGAGTGAATCTTGGTGCAAGTCGACTCTACATAGACCAAGATGGTGAGTGTTTGTAAGAGTGAATCTTGGTGCATGTCGACTCTACATAGACCAAGATGGTGAGTGTTTGTGAGAGTGGTGCACGTCGACTCTACATATACCAGGATCGTGTGTGTTTGTGAGAGTGAATCTTGGTGCAAGTCGACTCTACATAGACCAAGATGGTGAGTGTTTGTGAGAGTGAATCTTGGTGCAAGTCGACTCTACATAGACCAAGATGGTGAGTGTTTGTGAGAGTGAATCTTCGTGCAAGTCGACTCTACATAGACCAAGATGGTGAGTGTTTGTGAGAGTGAATCTTGGTGCAAGTCGACGATAATGATCTATTTCTACTTCCGCCTTTTTCAGTCTCCCAAAAGACCCTTACAACATCTGGCTTTTTATACATCAATTCCCGACCAAGTGATGGTGACAGAACCGGCCAGACTATCTGTCTGCTCATTTCCCAACACACCAGCAACCTTTAGAAAAAATATCCTAAGAATGCTAACTACCCACACTTCAGAAGAAGTAATTAGTGTTAGTTTTTTTTGTTTAAAGGTGGTTTATTTTAAACATCAATCGTTACATGACTTCAAAAAGAAAAATCGCCCTACCAGCCTGCCTTAACGATACTGTCCTAACTTAGAGTAACAGTAAGTGTAGGCTAGAAATAACAAGATAGTGTTTTGGTCAGAAAGGGTTAAATGTGGAACGTAATTCACATATGTGCCAGATCCCGGGATCTCAGGTCCCTTGAGGACCACCCTCCCATTTTACCCCCCCCCCCTCCCCCCCCCCCGTCCCCTTTCATGCCCCCACTGCCAAAATAGTTTTGTTACAGGACTAAGAGATCCTCTGTACCATAAAAAGAGTTGTTATTTGAAAGTAATTACTTTTTTGAGTATACTATTTCAAGTATATTGTTATATTTATATGTCATGTATAAATTTAAAATAAAATAATAATAATAATAATAATAAAAGCTTACAGATAATCTAGTTTTGTCCTTTTCAGGACGAAATTTTTTGTTTTTTGAAGCCCCACCCTGGCTCTTGCCAGGGGCCGCAATATAGGCAGGCCATAAGTATGGCCAATTGCCTGAACGCGGTTTCTGCGACCTCTCCACGGCGATCCTCATCCATATGGTAGCACTTTGTGTCATCGGGTGTTTGTCGCTTGTGTGATGTCCTGGTGTGGTAGAAAGTCAGTCAGTCAGTCAGTCAAATAATAACAATAAAATAAAAATGATGGGGGCGAATGACAAATGAACATAATTACATACTTGAACTGATATGAAATGTATGAATACATGCTTCTAAAGATAATGTATATACATGGTTCAAGGGGGACAGTTATCCCTCAACCCATAATTTTTTATATAAGAACATTTTGGGCCGGAGGTTGGGGGAGGAATGAGGTGGGATTGAGTTGCCACCTGACACAAAGCCTGCAAACAAGCAAGCAGTACAGATTGACTAATTGGTGTGTGTGTGCGTGTGTGTGTGTGTTTTAGAATCGGAGTCGCCCGGCTCGCAAGCGTAGTTGGCTAAACCGGACTGCGCGGTGACCGAGTGACAAACTCCTTGTGGTCCGGTTCACTCCCGGGGGTAGGCAGAAAAGCCACATTTCTCCCAGATTTACGGTATTTATCATGGAATCAAGGCCGAAGGGTTGCGATATCCATAATACCGAGCCTAAGGGTTAACAACTCGCTTCTGGATACTTAAAAAAATATATATATATATATATAAAAATCGAAATGCATCTACCTGAGAGGCGAGGAGTCAAATCTCTGCATTCACACAAGCCGATGTGCAAGCGAAATGAAATGTCTGGAACAAGGTCAAAGTCCAAACGCGAGCGAATAAGCAGGACATTTTTTCAGTAGTTTCCATCCGATGAACCAGAAGAAAACGAAGAAAGAGTAGAAGTAGATGTATTTAGACAGTAACTTGTTGGTCCCCATTTACTTGCAGGCACCCTTCATTTTACCTATGCGCTGCTTGGGGACCGTAATATTCCCGGCTACTCCTGTGGTATTTCAGGGAGCCGTTCTGTTGACTTTCCTAATATTCAGCTCGGCAAAAAGTACATTATTAACGTCACGGAAGTAGCGACCAGTGAAAGTATGTATATTTGTACGAGCCACAACCTTAGACTCAGACATTTTAAACCCATTCTCTCCAAACAGTTTTGCAAAGCTGAACACCCCCTTGTCGGCTGTGTGGGTTTTTTATCATGGTATGTGGCGTCACAGGTTGAGCCAGCTTAAAATAGGTAGCAGGATGTATGTTTTGGGGAAGTAAAGGCAGCCGGAGCAATGCTGACAACATTACCCACCTTGTGCCGATTGCTCTGTAAAAATATGGGGTGCTCTTTGCATATGCCTGATGCGCCTAAAGGCGTGAAAAGGGATCTTCACTTAACTTTTTTTTAAGTATGTGTTTATCCATTCATGTGATTTCAATCTGCAATATGTATATATATATATATATATATATATATATATATATATATATATATATATATATATATATATATATATATATATATATATATATATATATATATAGTTTGTGTGTGTGTGTGTGTACGTGCGTGCGTGCGTGCGTGTGTTTAAAAATTACACATACACGCAAGAGAGCGCTCAAAAAGTAGAGCACAACGTCGGTTTTTTTTTCCGAATTCATAATTTAAGGCCATAAAATGTGTATACGGTATACATCGATATATCATGCTATCATCAGTTTTATTCTACTTAATCCATATCAGTGTCTACGGCAATATACCAGGACCAAACCCTACGTATTCTCAGGCTGTTCCAGATTTTGTCTTCACTATGTAGCCATTTAAAAAGTGACCTTGACTCACAAGTTAATCAAGCCGTGAATTGGTACCAGGTGTGATTCTCGAAAGTAAAGGCGGCCGGCGTGATGCTGACCACATCACCTACCATGTGCCGATTGGCCTATAAAATATAGGTCTAGCCCTATATGCCCTACATGCCCTATATGCCCAATACGCCTAAAGGCGTAGAAAAAAGTGTTCTGTTTCAGTTGCTATGTAGTCATTAATTTGCTGCTCAGCGCGAATGCCTCCTTTATCATTCTCGAACCTTATACAAAGAAATGCGCATCTGTGAGTCTGCTGCAAAGAGATAAAAAAACCAAGGGGAGCCAAATCTGGGGTACATGGCGGCGCATTGTTATCAAGGAGAAGAAGGATTGATGGATTCCTGTGAGGCCGAACTCTGCGAAAACTTTAACCAAGTCCTGTCAATGTCCTAATGCAAAGCTTTAGAAGTGATGGTCTCCCCTCTTGGGATAACATCCACAAGAATCACATCTTCCGTGTCCGTAAAGAAAGCAATCAATACCTTTTTATCTGAAGGAGTTGTGTTTAGTTTATTTCTTCCTAGTGATTGCGGATATTGCCACTCTGTTGACCGTCTTTTTGTGCCAGGTTCAAAATGACGTGCCTAGGTTCCCTCACCTGCAACAATCTTGAGCAAACATGTGTCTCCATCAGCATGTCACCTTTCAACAATTTAGAAGAAATTGCTTTCCTTTGAAATCGATGGTTAGTTCTGAGGCGTCGAGAAACCAATATTGACCAAACCTGAGAAAATCTCAAGAGTGTGATACATGCACTTGCACTATCATTGATGACTGACAACTGTAAGACTAATTGTTGAGCAGTGATTCGCCTATCAGTAACGGCCTCAATGCATTTAATTATGTAAGAGCTAGTGGCTGTGGCAGGACGCACACAGCGCGACTGATCCAGCAAGGCAACATCTGCACTTCCTGATTCTTTGATTCTCTGAACCCTGTGACTGACTGTACTCATGTCGACTGTAAACTTTCAATAAAGATCATGTAGACGTTGTTGAGTCTTTCCTTTATATGCGACCATAAATTCTGTCACACTTTGCTGATGATAAGGCAGGTTGGAAACTGTTTATGGCAGCTGTAATATGGGGTCTGTTGTTTGTTTGGTCTGGCCATATTTAAAGTGTTTAAAATTTCATTTTCTATCTGAATTTTTTTTATTGAGAAAAACGATCTGGTGCATTAGTTTTTGAACCCCCCTTATATATAATGCATTTGAGATTATGTATACATTTGTGTGTGTGTCTGTGTGTGTGAGTGTGTATCTGTGTAACGGAAATAAAATGTTCAAAGAAACACCTAACAGATAACGTCTATACATGGTTAGGGATATCCCAAGGCATGACACTATAGCTCTACAAGGAACAGGTGTACTGAGACAAAAGAACCATCAGGGTGGGGGGGGGGGGCGCCGGGACACCCTCAGGCCCTTACAAATATTCAAAACGTTTAGTGGTTTGAAGGGTATGCGCCTTGTTGAAGTGCTTAATAGTAATTAAAAAAACCTGTAATGGAAAGGATGGCACCCATCCAGGGGGCGGTGGTGGCGACAGTCATTTGGATATTTCGCCCGGTCTTTGCAGGCGTGTTTAACTGTTCGACTGTTTGACTGTTTGACAATAAGCAGTTAGGTAGGTTAGCTGCTTTAGGCCTATTTGGGAGTGTACTGCAACTGCAAACACAAATAAAATTAAAAATACTAATAAACCAGCATCTGGAGATAATTTTGCAGCGGGGAATGTCTGCGCTCTTGGCTCTTCTTCGACAACCCCATTCACCTTTTTTGTCCCCCCCCCCCCCCCCAACCCACACTGAACCTTTAAGTACAGTTTTGCAATCGAATCATGTCTGACCAAGTGCCCAGACCAAGCTAGCCTGCGAAGTTTTACAACTGCCAGGAGAGGCTACTGATGTCCTGCAAATGTGTATATTTTGTGTCTAATATATTTTTTAGTTTTGTGTTCTAAATTCGTAAAATGCGTCAATAGCATTTACATTCGAAAACCTGAATCATCCTTTCTATTCCTACATTGACAGGAAGGCCTTGAACTTAGTCTTAACCTTAGTCGAGGGTTCAGCTTAACCGCAATCGGGTTTCCCCTCAGTTGCTCTATTCCTGTGCCAGTGCAAATCACATGAAATGTCCCTCACTATCGCTATTGAAAAACTGGTGAACAAACAACTTGTCCCGGAACAGTTATTAGATACGCCAAAGCCAACAATCGCCACCAGAAATTCAGTTTGTCGTAATGAAGTAGTCGGGCGCGATAAGTTAGCTTCTATACACATGTAGAATTATTACATAAGGTGTTTCACCTACTCACACGTAAAGCAGTTACCGGCCATATTCAATGCCACGACACAACCGCTGCAGAACTAAAAAGCATTTCACAGAGGAAAACAAACACAATTCACAGGGTTGCAACCTAGCACTAAACCTAATAGCTCAGGTAGCGAAACCGTAGACTACTATTATTATGTGGAAACTGCATTAGCAAAGCGCTTTCGCAAGCAAAAATCTTCTTCTTCTTCTTCTTCGCGTTCACCAGCTGTACACTCTGGCGGAAAGTTCTGGTTGGTCATCCACTACTGAACTGCAGTCCTGCTCCAGAACCTGAGTGTTGCGTGAGCATCAGTTTTACAGATCTCATTCTCTTGAATACAGACTGTTGGTTCCTTGCCTCTCCAGCAGATGCACTCCGACTTCAAAGGAAGCTCCCCAAATAGTCGACTCTTACGACATGCTTTTGGGGAGGCAGTGGGTCCATTCTTGTTTTCCCCACAATGGGGCCCCGGAACCCACTCCTTCATTTTATCCTTTACCTGGGCCACTCTAGAGGTTACGGAGGTCAGCTCATGTATATGTTTCAAAATTGTAGTTACAGTATTCCGTGTGCAATCCACAGGCAGTTTGTCATTCCTTCTTTTCAAACACTTTTACATTATGCAGTCTGTGAAGTAGATAATGTTAAACCCAGTAACAGAAAGACTCAAAAGGCTGAGCAATTCTTTTCTACGTATGTCGCAGCCATGGTTCTTACAACTGCCAGATCTCGTTTGAATTTCATCACATTCTGATCTGCATGCCGACAGGGTGCGATCGAATGCAAAACCTAGGAATTTCAGCTGAACTCTTCTTAACTCTTCCTTCGACAGTAATATCCATATGGAAATATGCTAAACACTCTTCCTTTCTACAGTGCATTTCAAAAATCGTGCCCTTGCACTTGAAAAAAGATTTAAAAAGCTCCTATTCTGATCCACACGAGTTTTTGAAAGGTGGCTTTAGATTTTCAGTATCATGATTTTTTAATTTACAGTTGTATGGGTGCTAATCTTTTCTTGGTGCGGTTAATTTCCTTGATCGTTGTTAAACTTATAATTTGTGTAACCCTTAAAATACAATATATATTAATCGACACGCCTGGAGATAGTCTTTAAGCCATTTAGCATGTGCAGCTATGCGTGGTGATTATTTTTATAGCCTATCCGGCACACAATGAACAATCAACAACTCAAAGAGACTAAAGCTGGAGATGACCGCCTGAGGGTGAGACGCCTATGGAACGCGTACATTATGTTTTTTAAAATTCGGTTACTTTTAAGCACACTGATCGTAACCTTTTAACCGGTGTCGGTTTTTTCGTCTTTTGTTTTTCATTTATCCAAATAAGGCAAAATAAAACCTATATGTTTGTTTACACTTGAAAACAAAAACAACAAGAACAACGTGAGAACAAAACAAAAAAAAAACAAAAAAACCCACCCCATAAATCATGAGGCATTACAATAAATTAAACTATAACTATTATGTATAATGATTTTCGATTCGAGCAGATATTAAGCCGAAGTTAGAGTACAGCAACACAGTTCATCTTGCTTTCAAAAATTCTACTGGCATACTAGAGTGCATGTACTCCGGGTAGTAAGTACACATTTGATAGTTTTCCTCTGAATACATTGTGTTTTCCTCTGAATACATTGTGTTTTCCTCTGAATACTTTGTGTTTTCAAGGCAAACTGCAGCACGTGTTACAAGTGCGCGATAATCGATTTAGTGAGTTGATTTTTTTTCTTAGATTCTTGATGAAGTTGACATTGTTCAACTGTAAATAATAAAGCTATAGTATGTGTGGGAGCTGCCGTCGTGAATGCGCAAGACGCTGGCCTGCAGGTCCTAAAGTCGTGGGTTCAAATCCTCATGAAGCAGGGTTTTGTTTAAATGGGTACCATGTAAAATCTTGGGAAGTAAAGCGGGTCTAGGTAAGGTTCACCACATCACCTATTCAAGGAGTCACTTATATCTTGTGCCTATCTTTGTGTTGGTCGGCCCCTGCCCCCCATACATAAATAAATAAATACAATAAGCTTCTTTTGATTATTGTTGAACACGTACTTCAGTTATAAAGGATTCACTTATTTGCTTCATTTATTAATTGTTACTGTAGCATACACCTGAGGAGACACAGCGAAATACACCAGGCGAAAAATTATAGTTTGTTGTTTATGTCTTCTTTATTCAAATTTACAACTGGGATTCTCGCTTTTACATCAGTTGTGTCAGCCTACAGGCGCAGATATCGCAGCATCGCTGTGAACAACAACGCGAAGTGCCAAACGTATCTTTAAGGGCAAACGCAGAAAGGGACTTAAAAGTAAAAAGCTCTTTATAGTCTTCAGGCGTCTACCAGATAGCAAGCATACATTTGGAGATTTCCGGAATCTACCGAATAGTAAATAGGCAAGTAAATAAAGGACCACACAAGATGGTACATCGAATTGATATGAGATGAAGTAGAATGAGATGATGATGATGACGAGATGGACATCTCCATCACCATCCACATCATTATCATCATCCTCATCATCACCTACAACATCACCATCATCATCATTATCATCATATTAATCATCATCATCATCATTATCTTCTTCTGCTTCTTCTTTTTTTTTTCTTCTTTTTTTTCTTCTTCTTCTTCTTCTTCTTCTTCTTCTTCTTCTTCTTCTTCTTCTTCTTCTTCTTCTTCTTCTTCTTCTTCTTCTTCTTCCTCTTCTTCTTCCACTACTTTGTGTCCAAAGTCTATGAACTCCAGTCGAAATTCCTAGTTGTTTGTCCACTTCTGGACTCTGATCTTGTTACAGCGCTTGACTTTTGAGTACACATAATTTTTTTACAAATTAGACTAGTTTGGATGCAGAGTGTTGGTTTTTCGCCTTTTATTCAAATGTACTCTGACATCAGAGGAAATACTCCTAAGTAGTCAGTGTGTCCTAGACACGCTTATTTGAGCAGTGGTTGCAATCTTTTCCCTATAAAAATACGGCATCATAACGAGCAAGGAGATGATGGTTAGTACAGTACACATGATAAAAATTACCATAAATCTATTGACAAATGTAAAATAAAACAATTTTTTTCTGGTTGTACAACAATACGCATGATTCTCTTGTTTCCGTCAGTGGTGGCAAAATAATACCCAATCAGTGGTGGGCCAATGCAGAACACGTGCCGTATGAGAACAGTTCCAAATACAACACATCACTTGATGGGCGACAGTTTTTCGTACATAATCTACAGGAAGACGATGAAAAGTACTATTTTTGCCACGCTAGTAATCCCGCCGGGGAAGACACAGCTGCCGTTTATCTCAATGTTACACGTATGTAAAGATTTCATCTCAGTGTTACATGTATGTCAAGATTTCATCTCAGTGTTACATGTTTGTCAAGATTTCATCTCAGTGTTACATGTATGTCAAGATTTCATCTCAATGTTACACGTATGTAAAGATTTCATCTCAGTGTTATATGTATGTCAAGATTTCATCTCAGTGTTACATGTATGTCAAGATTTCATCTCAATGTTACACGTATGTAAAGATTTCATCTCAATGTTACATGTAGTCAAGATTTCATCTCAGTGTTATATGTATGTAAAGATTTCATCCCAGTGTTATATGTATGTCAAGATGTCATCTCAGTGTTACATGTATGTCAAGATTTCATCTCAATGTTACACGTATATAAAGATTTCATCTCAATGTTAGATGCAGTAAGATTTCATCTCAGTGTTATATGTATGTAAAGATTTCATCTCAGTGTTATATGTATGTAAAGATGTCATCTCAGTGTTATTTGTATGTAAGGATTTCATCTCAGTGTTAAATGTATGTAAAGATTTCATCTCAGTGTTATAAGTGTGTAAAGATTTATTCTCAGTGTTATATGTATGTAAAGATTTCATCTCAGTGTTTATGTATGTAAAGATGTCATCTCAGTGTTATATGAATGTAAATATGTCATCTCAGTGTTATATGTTTGTAAAGATTTCATCTCAGTGTTATAAAGATTTCATCTCAGTGTTATATGTATGTAAAGATTTTATCTCAATGTTATACTTATGTAAAGATTTCGTTACACGTATGTAAAGATTTCATCTCAGTGTTATATGTATGTAAAGATTTCATCACAGTGTTAAATGTATGTAAAAATTTTTATCTCATTGTTATATGTATGTAAAGATTTTTATCTCAGTGTTACACTGATGTAAAGATTTCATCTCACGTTACACGTATATGTAAAGGTTTGATCTCAATAATAAATGTGTGTAAAAATTTCATCTGAAAGTTACATTTATGTAAAGACTTTAAATCAATGTTTAAATGTCTAAACAGATTTAATCTAATTGTTTCACGTTTGTAACGATTTTAGCTCATTGTTACATCTATGTAAAATTGTATCTTAGTGTTGCATATATGTAAAGTTTTTTTGTTTTTTATTTTACATGTATCTAAAGATTTCGTCTCAACGTTACATGTATGTAAGGATTTCATCTTAATGTTACATGTATGTAAAGATCTTTCCTCACTGTTACATATTTGCAAAGATCCTAACTCAGTGTTATATCTCTGTAAATATCTGACCTCAGTGTTAAATAAAGTTATGTGCCATCTCCACAATAAAGGTTGACTGTAGTGTACCATTCCTATCTTTGGGAATATTAGGTAGCGAGGCCCCAATCTCTTCCGCGGTGTGACTCTCATACTGTTGCCCGAACACCCCAGAATGGATAACTTAGTGTTACATATATGTTAAATATATTACCTCAGTGCTGCTTGCATGTAAAGATATTACCTCAGTGCTACATTTATATAATGATTTTATCTTTTTATTACTTGTGAACAAAGATCTTACCTCATTGTTACTTCTATGTAAAGACGTTTTCCCGGTGTTACTTGTATGTTAAGATCTTACCTCATTGTTACTTCTATGTAAAGATGTTTTCCCGATGTTACTTGTATGTTAAGATCTTTCCTCATTTACTTGTAACTAAAGATATTTTGTTGCTGTTACTTGCGCTTAAATGTTTCACCATTACAATTACGTAAAGATTTTAGAAAACTCAGTGTTACATTATGCAAAGATCTTTCCTCAGTCTTTATTGTAGGCAAACATTCTACCGCAATGTTACATGTATGTAAAGTTCTTATCTCAGTTCAGATGTTTGTAAAGATATTACCTCAATAGCAAGTGTATATAAATTTAACTCAGTGATACCTTTCCCAAAACAGCTAGGTGTAACGTGTGCGTAAAACATATGAATTTAGCTCACATTATATGTAAGTAAAGTAAAGTAAAGATCCCTTTTCACGCCTTTCGGCGCATCGGGCATATGGGCAGAGCGTCCCATATTTTTACAGACCATCAGCACTCTGTGGGTAATGTGGTCAGCATTACGCCGGCTGTCTTTACTTTCCCAGGACAGCCCATCCTGGTACCCATTTTAGGCTGGGTCGACCTGCGACGTCCCATACCACGACAAAAATCCACGCAGCCTGCAGTGGGTTTCGATCGCGGTACGCTGGCTCACGAGTCGGACTCGCAACGCCTTAGCCACGGACGCCGCTTACTCTTACCTAATTGTACTACTTAAACAGAACTGAAATGCTACTTCTTGGTGCAAATTGTCATTCTGTATTCTTTGTGGTCTTTTCCTTGCTCCGGGTGTATTATATTTCTTGACCGAGGCTCTGTGTGGCAGTTTGTACTAGGGCATTCTCGACAGAGGCCGAACCATTTCGTCTGATGCTTTTTAGTAGAGCTTTTAGTGTAAGAAAGTACACATAAATCCGTGTGATATGGTAGCTGTAGTTGGTAGGAAGGCATCTTTCTAGGGTAATACTTCGTTATACGGTTTAAATTCCAACAGATGCTGTTTTAGAGAATGCTAAAGTGCTGCGCGCTGATTTGGGTTAAGTGTGATATTGTGGGAAGGGACAATGGTATGCCTGTACTTCCTGTAAGTTCACGAGGAAAGAGTGTCAATATGATCCGATTATTGAGAGGAGACCAGTGAAAACGTCTATTCATGAACAAGGCGTGCTTGCACGAGAGAAAGTGGACGCGTAGGATTCTGTGTGGTTGGCTGAAAGAGTGGATAACGAGATAAAGTGTGAATTAAGTGACAGCGTGATTCTCGGGTAACATCAGCCACCCACATAAGCGTGATCCTCGGGAACGCTCACATGAGCGATTCCCGAGAACACCCACAGGATCATGATTCACGAGAACGCCCACACAAGCGTGCCTCTCGTGTAATCACCATCCACCTACACGGATTCGACATATATAAATTGGGCTGCGTAGACAGTCCAGAGAGTGAGCTGTAGCCTGAGGGCTAAAGCCCCTCGGGGGCAGTAGACAGAGAGAGAGATGTAGCCACAGGGCTAAGGGCATTAATGAAGTGTGGGTGTAGTATACACCCAGCACGAGGGATCAGCCGAGAGAAAACGAGAGTCAGAGACCAAGTCAGGGTCCAGGTAATCTCTCGAGTCTAACAGACAAACATACCGTACGACTATCGGGCATTCAGGTCCGAGTAAGTGTCGAGATTGCGGTACATGTCAAAAGTATGAGAGGACTTAT